CGCCTGCCTCTGCCTCCCGAGTGCTGGGATTAAAGGCGTGCGCCACCACCGCCCGGCCCCTCTTTTGGTTTTGAGACAGGGTTTCTCTGTATAGCTTTGGAGCCTGTCCTGGGACTCAGATCCACCCGCCTCCACCTCCTGAGTGCTGGGATTAAAGGCGTGCACCATCACCACACGGCAGGTTTTGTTTCGTTTTTTTTTGCTGGGCTTCCAACCCAGGGAGTCACGACCACTCAGCCCAAGAGTGCTGCTTATGAAGAGTAGACAGTTTCATGACTTGGAATTAAGAATGTGGATGTGCTGGCTCGGGCTTTGTAGCCGTAAGCTTTGTTGTGTATTGAGGAGGTGGGCGTGAAGTATGGATGTGTGGTTTGGGCATGCTTTGGTTCCTCTTGGCACTGGTGATGCTCTGGTTTATCCATTTACTGGTGTTGAGCTCTGCATCTTTTTTTGAGTATTGTACAAATGTAGCTCATGCTTTGTCAGTGACGCATTCCCTAGGAACTTGCTACCTGGTGCTAATGAATTGTTTGACGTTGTGTTGTAGATGCTCAAAGCAAAGGAACAGAAGGTTAATCCTAGAGAAATTGCAGAAAACATCACCAAACACCTGCCAAGCAATGAATATATTGACAAGGTTGAAATTGCGGGTCCTGGTATGATATGCTAGCTTTTTTAATACTGCATTGATGATAAGTACTTTCTGAGACTTAAAACGGTTTAAAGCTTCAGTGCTGGATCTTGGGGTGTGGCTAACTCAGTGGTAAAGTGCTTTCCTAACATGTATAACAACAGGGTCTCTGGCCATATCCTAGTGGGGCCACCAAAATTAATTTTTAAAAAAGTTGCCTTGCATGGTGGCACATGCCTGTGATCCTATCTACTCAGGAGGCGGCATGATATGTACAGGGCGGCCCAGACATTTCATATGTCATGATCCAAGTGTTAAAAATAACCTGCATTATTAATTAAGAGCTACTATTTTGGTGACCTGTCCTTGGATAGTTTACTTTGCCTTCCACTGAACAGGTTTTCATCAGCAAAAGGGCTAGGTAATGTGGCTAACTAAGCCTGCAATAGAAGAGCCTTCCATTTTCTAAGATGAGCCAACCAAAGTGGGTGGGCTGGAGTAATACACAGCAGCTTTGAGGGGTGGTGGGGGCGTGACAATTTGAAATAGATGCTGAGGCAGGTGTTTGCAGAAGGGCTTGAGTAGTTGTCTTGATTGCTGTTGGACTCCTGAGGAGTTTTACTCAGCTCTCTCACACTTTCTGGAGCCAGCATAAGTGAGCTGGAGACTGATCATTTTTTACTGCTCCTAGGTTTCATTAATGTCCACTTGAGAAAGGACTTTGTGTCAGAACAGTTGACCAATCTCCTAGTAAATGGAGTCCAACTACCCACTCTTGGAGAGAATAAAAAGGTATGTGTGCTAATACTTTAGTATTTTAGGCTTGCATGGCAAATGCCCTTATTGGGGGTGACCTTCACTTTATTTTGAGATCATGAGTGTAACTGGGAAGTAGATTTCTGGTGTGTTTTATAATTTTTTTTTTTTTTTTTTTTTTAAGATTTATTTATTTATTATGTATACAGAGGAGGGCACCAGATCTCATTACAGATGGTTGTGAGCCACCATGTGGTTGCTGGGAATTGAACTCAGGACCTCTGGAAGAGCAGTCGGTGCTCTTAACCTCTGAGCCATCTCTCCAGCCCCGTGTTTTATAATTTTTTAATCTCATTCCATAGGCATTTCAGATTTATAACTGGTACTTATGCACCTATTGCTGAATAGTATTCTTGAATAGTAATTTGTATAAATTAATTTGATTCTTTGTCAATTAATATGCAATTAAGAGCCACAAAAAATCTAATGCATGAATTAGAATCTAGACTAATATTTAGGACTTATTTTTATATGATAGAATAATAATGTTTATGCCCCCTTTTAAAACTCTTTTTCTGTTTTAGGTTATAGTTGACTTTTCCTCTCCCAACATAGCTAAAGAGATGCACGTTGGCCACCTCAGGTCAACTATCATAGGAGAAAGTATGAGCCGACTCTTTGAATTTGCAGGATACGATGTGCTAAGGTGTGTTCTCTTGCTTTTGCTTGGAAATTAAAGGTGTCTATTAAAAATGACACCTCGTTTTTGAAGTATCTTCAACACCCAGGCTCAAAAGCTCAGTTCTGTTTTGTAATCTTTTAAAAATATGTCCTGGGGCTGGGGACATGGCTTAGGGGTTAAAGCACCTACTGCTCTTGCTCAGTTCCTAACGCCCACATCATGTGGCTCACAGCTTCCTGTAACTCCTACTCCAGGGGATCCAGGTGGTGCCTGCATGTGCACAGACTCAATATCATACATATAAATAAAAATCAATCTTCATCTTATAAAAATATATCTTGGTACCTACCCCATATCTGAACTTTATCCTTTTTGTAGACTTCCTGTTTGAAAACAACAAAAGATTTACCTTTTCATTCATTTATTTTTGTGTGCCATGTGCGTGCAGTTCCATAGAGGACAAAAGAGGGCATTATATTTACCTAGAACTATAGAAAAAGGCAGCTGTGAACTGCCATACTGGGAACCAAGCCCAGGTCTTTTGCAAGAGCAGTGGGTACTCTTAACTGCTGAGCCATCTCTCCAGCCTTCACAGATACTTCTTGAGATATAACAAGAACTTACCTTCTAGTAGTCAGAGAGGCCTAATCAGGAGTGTTTGTATTGGGCTTTGTAGGCCATGATATGAAACTGGGATTTTATTCTAACTAGTGGAGCCATATGATGTGAAAGCTTGTTCTGGTGGTAGTGAAGAAGCTAGATAATGAAAACATGTGGTTCAGCAGTCTAAAGGCAGAGGTGAAGGGTGTTACCCATTGGCATTTTGGAGCCATTTATTCCCTACAGTAATTGATTGAAAGTTACATTTTCTTCCTTCCTCTTGTCTTACATATATGTTTTTTGGGGGGTGAATGAGGCTGATAAAGGTCGGAGAACAACTCAGGGGAGTTGGGTGTCTCCTTCCAGGGATGGAAATCAGGTCTTCAGGCTTAATGGCAATGATTAACATTGGCTCAGCTATAATGTTCCTAGTTAGCCACATAATATGCAGTTTATAGCCCATTAATTAGAAATGTATTCATTCGGTAAACCTTAAGTTCTCACCCTAGTCGGCTGTTTCTAGTTACACAGAGTTGAACGAAAGAGCCCCAGACTTGACCTTGGCAGTTGGCAGTCCCACTAGGAAGCAGCTGCTGTTAGAGTGGCATGTTGACACTTAGATGTTAATGGCTTCTAATGGAGTGTACTTTTATTGAATCTCTACAGCTTTTTTAAAATTCTTGTTCTCTGATTGTTATCAGGTTAAACCATGTAGGAGATTGGGGGACCCAGTTTGGCATGCTCATCGCTCACTTGCAAGATCAATTTCCAGATTATCTGACAGTTTCACCTCCTATTGGGGATCTTCAGGCCTTTTATAAGGTTTGGCACGATTGTTGTGTATTTGTATTTCTGCTAACCTTTCCCAAAGGAAGTTCAAAACCATAGTTGAAGTCACTGTGTACTGAAAAGAATAACGTGAAAACTGGAGAGATGGGTCAGTGGTTTAAGCAGGTCTTCCTGAGGACCTGAGATCTGTTCCAACACCCACAAGGTGGCTCAGTACTGCTTCTCTAACTCTAGTAGTACGGATCTGATGCCTCCTTCCGGCTTCCAGGGGCACTGCACTCAGGTGCACAGCCCACACACAGGAACATACATATTGAAATCTTGAAGAGAAAAGAAAGATGCTTACCAATCATAGTTTTCCACATACAGTGGCTACCTTGGTAAAGCTGCATTGCAGTGAGTGAGAACAGAAGCTGATTCACAAAGTTTACTTACTTGAAACACTGAATTCTTTTTTCACTCCTAGATACTTACTTGTTTTGTGTACTTGGAAACAGCCACCCTGGCGTCCATTTACTTTTGTGTTTAGTCATAGAAATAGCTGTCTCCCATCCGTTTACATGTCTTTGCTTTGTTTATTGATGTATGTTAAAAATTGAGCTGGGCGGTAATGGCGAACACCTTTAATCCCAGCACTTGGGAGGCAGAGACAAGAGGATTTCTGAGAGTTTGAGGCCAGCCTGGGCTACAGGGTGAGGTCCAGGAAAGGCTCCAAAGCTACACAGAAACCCTGTCTCAAAAAAAAATGTGATGGGCTGGAGAGATGCCTCAGCGTGTAAGAGCACTGGCTACTCTTCCAGTGTTACCAGGGTTCAGTTCCCAAAACCCACATGGCAGCTCAACAGCTCAACTGGAGTAACTTACTCCAGTTCCAGGGATCCAACACCCTCACACCAGTGCACATAAAGTTAAAGTGACTATTTTTAAAAAATGAATTCTACTACATTACCTGCTATCCATTGTAGTGTAAGCAGGTAAGAACAGTTTGAGTTTTGTATTGTTTTGTATGGGTTCTTCTGAAATGTCTCTGTGTAGCCTGGACTAACCTGGAACTCACTGTCTCATTGGCCACCCTAAAACTCAATAGTAGTTTTCCTGTCTCAGCCTCTCAAGAGCTTGGTTTACACATGAGCCACCATGCCTGACTAAAACCAAGTGGTGGTGGTGTTTTGGTTTTTAAAATATTATGCTTGTATGTTAGGGGTCAGTCGTGCATCAAGGCCTATGTGTGGAGGTCCAAGCACACCCTGCAAGAATCAGTTCTCACCCTGTGGGTCCTGGGGGTTGAACTCTGACTCAGTAGCCAAGTACTTTGACCTACCATCTTGCCAGAGCAGTTTTTAAAAGACAATCATATGCCTGTGGGGGGTGGGGGAGGTGGGCAAATGCCTGTAATCTCAGCACTGGGGGGCTAGGAGCAGGAGGATCTAGAGTTCAAAGTTAACCTCAGCTGTAATAGTGGGTCCAGCCCTGTTTTAATCACATGGTGACTTTGATAGAGTTCTGCTGGAATTGGGTACTGCGGTTTTTATTCCCCTACTGTAAGTTTTCTATGGCTCTTTCCCAGAAAGCAGTTTTGTACATACAGTCTTATGTTTTCAAAATGAACCAAGTTAGACTACTGGATAAAAAGCAAACACTTGAGTTTTGTTATTTTCTAGTAAAAATTTGAAAACTATGAAAATAACTAATCATGTTAGAATTGCCTTGGACATAATGAGACAGATTTGCTAATTAATGTGTGATTTTGCAGTACATTGCTAAAATTTAGTGATTTGGTAATGGATCAGTTTTTCAGTGTTTCTTAAAGTTTGTTTTTTGTGTGCCTAGAATGGGGGAAATGCACACATGTTTGTGTTACCCACTGAAGCCAGAAGACAACTTGTGGGAGTCAGTTTTCTCTTCTACCATGTGGGTCCTGGGAATTGAACTCATGTACTTAGGCTGAGCAGCAAGCTCCTTCACCAGCTAAACCATCTTATGAGCCCCATAAGATGTTCTTGAAAGGTTATTTGCAAAGGAACACTAGGAAGCGTTCCCTGAAAGCATGTGCTACCAGAATAGAAGTGGAACACTGAAGGGTTTTGTGGTTTTGATTTTTTTTAATTTTTTTAAGATTTATTTATTATCTATACATAGTGTTCTGCTTGCTTGCATGTACCTGAACACCAGAAGAGGGCACCAGATCTCATTACAGATGGCTGTGAGCCACCATGTGGTTGCTGGAAATTGAACTCAGGACCTCTGGAAGAACAGCCAGTGCTCTTAACCTCTGAGCCACCTCTCCAGCCCAGTTTTGATCTTGAGAGTTTGTAGACTAGGCTGGCCTGTAAACTTGGTATTCTGACTGCCTCCAGAATGTTAGGGTTACAAGTAGAAACCACATTTTCAGCTGAGTTTCGTATTTTTAAGAAAAAATAATTTCATTAAAAAAAAAAAAAAAAAACTGGGCTATTTGTCATATCTGTCACGCACACTGGAGTGTGTGGGCTTACGTTAACATCTGGTATCTTGATCGCTATTTATTGAGATAGAGTCTCTTGAGTTCTCTCTGGTCTAACCGGCCAGCTTCCCAGCACACTCTTCTCCCCCGCCCCTCACCAGAATTCTCGATTATAGGTGCTGTCAAGACTGCACAGCTGTACTTTGCTTCTGGAGATGGAACGTTAGTTCTCGAGTGCAGGATGGGCACTTTACCCTCTGAGCTCTCTGCCCAGTTCAGCTGTGTCCGACTCCTGAACTCTTTTGGGGGGAGAGGTGCTTTCTGTTGGTTGGGTTGGGTTTTTTTGTTTTAGAGACAGGGAATTACTGGAACGCACTGTATAGAGGTCCACCTGCCCCTGCCCCTTAGTGCTAGGATTTAAAGGTGGACCACCACACCTGGCTACTCTGGTTGGTTTTGGCTTTGTGTTTGTTTTTGGGACCCCATCTTCTTGTCTTTGTAGAGCGCTGTATTCTCTGTTGTCTACTTCCTGTGGTGTGTGCATATGTACAGAAATGAGTACATTCTTCTTCTTTTAAAAACAGGAATCTAAGAAGAGGTTTGATACTGAGGAGGAATTTAAGAAGCGAGCCTATCAGTGTGTCGTTGCACTGCAGAGTAAGGACCCAGACTTCATAAAGGCCTGGAATCTCATCTGTGACGTCTCCCGGGAAGGTGAGTCTCTAGGGGCCATTAGCTAGCTTGAGTTTTGACTCAAGATTGTGTCTAGGTTTTTGTAACTGGGGTGTTTGTTTGCCTGTTTCTTTAGACCTCCCATATACTTTTTCTGAATGATTGTGTGAATTCAGGTGTGTGCTTTTGCACACAGCCCACATGGAGATGAGCGGACAGGGGCAACTCTGGGGAGTCTTCTCCTTGTACCTTACTGGGGCAGGATCTCTATTGTTCTGTCTGCCATGCTTCATGCTGTACTCCAGGCTGTCCTGGCCACAATTACCCCATCTCATCCTAGTGAGCCAGGCGGTGGTGGTCCATGCCTTTAATCCCAGCACTTTGGTCTACAAAGTGAGCCCCAGGACAGCCAGGGCCATTACACAGAGAAACCTTGTCTCAAAAAACAAACAAACCAGTCTGTCTCATTGTAGCACAGTGGGATTACAGATACACACCACCACATCCAGGAATTTACTGTGTACACCAGACTGGCCTCAGACAAGAGATCCACCTTCTTCTGCCTCCAGAGTGCTGGGATTAAAAGCATGTGCCACCATTTCCAGCATATGATTTATTTTAAATTATCTATGTTTGTGCACATTAGTGTTGGTGTCTGTAATGACCAGAGGAAGATGTTGAATCCCTTGGAACTGGGGTTACAGGTCATTGTGAGTCTACTGAAAGGCTGTTGGGAACTGAACTTAGTCCTTGGTCCTCTACAAGAGCAGTATATGAGCCATCTCTTAGCCTGTATACATCCAGGTTTTTACATGGGTTCCAAGGATCAAAATCCAGTGTCAGTCTTTCATGGAATGCATGCCTATTTATTTGGTGCTGAAAAGTGAAGCAGGCCACATAAATGCTGCACCTGTAACCTTCACTGGAGAGTTTTAGAAGGATGTTTTTCTTATAGGTAGGCCAATAAATAAATAAATAAATAGTGATGTTTTGGGAGGTAGGTGAGGGTCTGCTACATATTAAACCCAGGGTCTCATGCTGGCTAAGCATGTCCTAAGCCACTGAGCTATATCCTAAGGCCCGGTGTTTTCTTAGGTATGGTATCATATTCTGTTCTCAAATGGCAGCATATGTATTGTTCTGTATTGTACATAGCCAATGTAATAATTTCTTTTTTGTGTGTGTTATATAGATAACAAGTTTTCTAAATGTTGTGTTTTTCCCCTTTTGCTTAAATGTTTGTTTACTATATTTGGTATTTTCTAGAATTTAGTAAAATCTACAATGCATTGGACATCACTTTAATAGAGAGAGGAGAATCCTTCTATCAAGATAGGATGAAGGATATTGTAAAGGAATTTGAAGATAAAGGTGAGCAATACATTCTTTTAAATTTTAGAACTGGAGTTACAGCTGGTTGCTAGCCACATGGGTGCTGGGGATTGAACCTGGGTTCTTTGTAAGAACAAGTGCTCCTAACTGCTGAGCTAATTCTCCAGCCCCCAGTATTACATTCTTTTTTTTTTTTTTTTTTAAAGAGATTTATTTATTTGTTATGTATACAACATTCTGCCTCCATGTATGCCTGCGTGTCAGGAGAGGGCACCAGATCCTCATTATCAATGGCTGTGAACCATCATGTGGTTGCTGAGAATTGAACTCAGGACCTCTGGAAGAACAGCCAGTGTTCTTAACCTCTGAGCCATCTCTCCAGCCCGAAGTTTGATTTTTTTTTTTTTTTTATTTTATTTTCTTGGGTTTTTGTTTGTTTGTTTTTCTGATACAGGGTTTCTCTATGTAACAGCTGTGGCTATTCTGGAACGCACTCTGTAGACCAGGCTGGCCTCGAACTCACAGAAATCCACCTCCCTCTGCCTCCTGAGTGCTGGGATTAAAGGCATGTGCCACTACTGACCAGCCCAGTGTTACATTCTTTAAACTTATTTTATTATTACTGAAACTTGCAAACAGACAACAGAATGAAATTTATAGTTACTGAAAAGACCATAAACTCATCACAGAACTTCAACAGTTACAAATGTTAAATGTAGGGTATACCTTATTCTATCCATACACGTTTACATAATTTCATCTGCCACTCTGTCCCTGAAAGAACATATGCTTTGTGCTTAACTCCTATTATTTCACCAAGGAAATAATGCTTTAATTTCTTGTTGTGTGTGTAGGATAGAGGCAGGGTCTTGCTATGTAGCCCTGGCTGACTTGGAATTAAATATGTAGACCACAGTGACCTTGAACTCTCAAATTGTCTCCTGCCTTTGGTAGTAATTTCCCACCCCCATTTTGATTGAACCCTAAGACTTGTACCTTGTACATGCTAGGCAAGCACTCTTCTGCTATCAGCTCCAACGATAATGTCTAAATGCCATTCAGTAGACAATCTAGATTTTCCAGTGGGATTTATTTCAATTCCATCATTTGTTCATTTGAATATAGGGTCTCTCTGAATCCACAAGCTGGCTTGAAACTCACGGTCCTCCAGCCTCAGCTTCTCAAATGCGTGTTTGAACTATGTCAGACTTCATAGTTTTTTTAATCATAGGGTTGTTTTGGTTTGTTTGTTTTCTTTCTGGAGTCTCAATATTTATTTGTGGTCTGGTAATACATAATAGCCCTCCTTTTCATGTGTACTTTTTTTTTCTTGCTCTGTAAGGAAGGAACCCTGGCTAGCCTGGGGCGGTGGTGGCACACACCTTTAATCCCAGCACTTGGGAGGTGGAAGCAGGCAGATCTCTTTGAGATCGAGGCCAGCCTGGTCTACAGAAGAAGATGCAGGACAGGCACCAAAACTACATAGAGAAACCCCTGTCTCAAAAACAAAACAAAACAAAAAGGGAACCCTGGCTAGCCTGGAACTTGCTCTATATAGACTATGCTGGACTCAGATTTGTAGTACTCTTCCCTTTTTGCCTCCGAAGCACTGGAATTACAGGCATTGCTCTACCATGTCTGGATATTTTTCTTTTATTGTTAAAGAAAGAAGGCTTATAGAATTCATTCCCTCTCTATTTTTTAACTGGGATTTTGTGCAAAAAAATTGCCCAATAATTTTAGGGTTTTGTGACACAGTTTCACTGCTTACTCCAGTCAGTCTCAGATCCACAGTGGTTCATGATCGTCTTTTTTGTAAAGATTTATATCGCTTGTTGGGCATAGTGGTGCATGCCTTTAATCCCATCACTTGGGAGGCAGGCAGATCTCTCTGAGTTCCAGGACATCCAGGGCTACTCAGAAAAAAAACGCTGTGTTGATAAACAAAATAGATGTGTGTATAAATGCTTGCCTGCATGTGTGAGTGAGAAAGAAAATGCACCATGTGCATGTTCCTGGAGGCCAGAAGAGGGCATCAGTTCCCTGGAGCTGGAGTTACAGTTGGTTATGAGTTGTCTGTCATGTGACTGTTGGGAACCTAACCCAGGTCGGTCTTCTGTAAGAGGAGCAAGTATTTTTTTTTTTAATTAAATTTTTTTCTATTTATTTTACATACCAACCACAGTTTCTCCTCCCTCCTCTCCTCCTGTTCCCTCCCCCTACCTCCTTTCTACCCTTCCCCTCTATCCACTCCTCAGAAAAGGTAAGGCCTCCCATGGAGTCAAGAAAGCATGGCTATCAAGTTGAGGCAGAACCAAGCTCCTCCCTGCTTGCATCAAGGCTGAGCGAGGCATCCCACCATAGGGAGTAGGTTCCAAAAAGCCAGCTCATGAACCAGGGACAGATCCTGATCCCACTGCTAGGGGCCCTGCACACAGACCAAGCTACACAACTGTCACATGTAGAGGGCCTAGGTTGGTCCCATGCAGGCTCCCTGGCGATCTAATATCCATGAGCTCTCACGAGCTTTTCGGGTCAGCTGTCTCTGTGGGTTTCTCCATCATGATCTTCACACACATGCCTGCCCACCCCCACCCCCCACTCACTTGCTTATATAATCCCTTCCCCCTCTTCAACTGGACTTCCAGAGCTCAGCTTAGCTGTGGGTCTCTACATCACAATAAGTGTTCTTAACCACTGAGCCATCCTTCAGCCCTGAAGCCTGGTTCTTGAATGTGGAAATGGATGGAGTCTAGGAGCCATACTTTGAAGATAATAAAACAATGTCCATGGGGGTTTGTTAGCATTGTGGAGCTGCAGACTGATTGAACATGGGGTCTTACGTATGCTGTCAAGTGCATACTCCTCGTAGCTCCTTTCCCAGCCCTGATCAGCACAGGCGAAGTCAGAGCCCATAAACAATGAATCTGAGATTCACACACAGTCTTCCTTCACAAGCAGTAGTTTTAACCACTACCTAGGAGTCTGTTTCCTAAACTGTAAGTTAGTACGGTAGCATAAACTGTATAGTGACTGTAGCAACTATAAACATTAAATTTGGGATTTAATATTATGGGTGACACAAAATTCAAATAGAGCTATTAGAATGTTCCTCCCTCTCTCTTCTTGGGTCTGAGAACTTTGCTCTTTATTATAAGCACCTGAACACAGTTTTATTTCTTCCAGCTCTTTATTCCAGATACTAAATCTTGCTTTTTGAGCACATTCAGAGGACCTATTTTCCTTCCAGAGGAAGGTTATGGTTCTACCCAGAGAGCAAAGCACATATGTTCATATTTTGTCTGCTGTGTGTTGGATCAGAGTTTGACCAGATGTGTGTGAGTGCAGAGCATTATATTTGACCGTGCCCTGAAGTCAGTCTTGGCCGTGGATCATGTGGAATAATCTTTTAAAATACTCAGAGGGCTGGTGAGAAGACTCTGCGGGTAGAGGACTTGCTGCCAAGTCCTGAGATATCCTGAGTTCAGTCCCTGAGACCCACATGGTGGGAAGAAAGTACCAGTTCCCAAAAGGTGTCTTCTGACATCCGCATTCACACTGTAGTGCATGGACCACACTCTCACACACAAATATATAAGCTCAATTTTTTAAAAAACAAAATGTTCATAGAATGGCCAAGTATTTATGTGGTCCTAGAATAAACTAGGATTCTGGGTCCAGGAGGGCTCTTTTAGCTTTGTTAATGAAGGTTTGTGTGTGTGTTTTGTTTTGTTTTTCTTTATTTCTAGGATTTGTGCAAGTGGATGATGGCAGGAAAATTGTGTTCGTTCCTGGGTGTTCCATACCATTAACCATAGTGAAATCCGATGGGGGCTTTACTTATGATACATCTGATCTGGCTGCTATCAAACAGAGACTATTTGAGGAAAAAGCAAATAAGATTATCTACGTGGTGGACAATGGACAAGTAAGTGGGATTTTTCTAGGGCCTAATTGCATTTGGCACTTAAAGATTGAAAAAAATTCACTAGAAACTTAATAATTCAGAACACTGTTGCAATCTTTGGAGAAAGAATATGGTTGGACCCAGCTTTTTAGCTACTTTCTGAATGTGTAGATTATTCCTAACCTGGGGAAGCAGAGGCAGATGGATCTGCAAATTCGAGGACAGCCAGGGCTACAGAGGGAAGAAACTTGTTCCTCTCCCTGTGATGGTGTGGCAAACAGGTCCTTCTGTGTAATATCCTGGTTTGGGCTATTACAAAAAGTTGAAAATTTCCCTTTGTGAATGTGGCCTTGTGGCTCTGCTTTTATTTCAATTAATTTTAACATATAGACACATAGAAATTGTACTTCATGGAAATATAAAAGCCATTTGACTTTTGTTGTGGGATAAGGTCCCAGGTAGCCCATTTGACCTCAGACTTGAAAATCCCACCTTTCTGGATGAAAACTAAGATTTACTAGAAAAGCTTTTTGTGAATTTGTCCTTAGTCACTTTTGCTCTGGTGAGGAGCAGAGCCTGTGTTTGGCCTATAGTAGGCAAGTGCTGTGTCCCTCCATTGCTCTTCAGACAGTTTGGATTTGTCTTATGAGACAGGGTCTCAACACCGGCTACATAGCAGAGTAGGACCTTGAACTCCTGATTCTGCGGCACAGAGATGACAGACATGTGTTGACCTGAGTGGAGAAAGTGTCATTCAGTCTTGCTCTTGGTGATCACATCTGGGGAATAGAAGAACTTTATAATAATGATTGCCTAACAGGGTTATCATGTGATCATTGAGCCCAGAAGAGTTGTCCTTTTAATCAGTATAGAAAACTAACAAGCTCTGTTGTGTTTCTACTCTTCTCAGGCTGTACATTTCCAGACAATTTTTGCTGCTGCTCAAATGATTGGTTGGTATGACCCTAAAGTAACTCAAGTGAGCCATGTTGGATTTGGTGTGGTGCTAGGAGAAGACAAGTAAGTGGACAAGGCAGAAGCCGTTGATGACTACCCTGGTCCCCAGCTTCAGACAAGGCTTCATGTTACTCAGTCCTACAGCAGCACTGAGAAATTAGTTTAGACTAGTATACTGTCTGTCGTGTGAACTCAGCTAGGCCACTTCCCCAGGGGATGTAGCCCCTCAGAAGGACAAGTGTGTGATGTTGAAAGAAACTAGATTGTCATCACACTTCCCCATCTGGACTGCCCGTTTCATACAGGATGCTTGGCAGTGTAGTCAAAGCCATTGGTGAATTTACCTTTAGTTATAAACTTGAAAAAGTGTGAGTCATTGAGATTCCAGTTGAATTTAAGATTTTTGTACAAAATATGAAGCTTATTAAATCTAAGTTAATGATGTCCATACTTTCACTTTTTTCTGTTTCCCCATCATTTCCCTCTGTTCTGTTCAGTCTTTGAGACAAGGGGTAAATAGAATGGGTGTTTATATTTCAGTATTTACCAACTCAAAGGCACAAAATGCCTCTCTTTTTAATGTGGCTGGCTTTCTTTGTGACAGGTAGTATTTTATTATGTTAGTCCAGTATAGAAGCAAGTGTGGTGGGTTTTTTATTTTAGTAATTTTTCTGAAAGGGCAAAACAACATCTTGGATTCCAGGAAAGTGAGCTGGTTAGACTTTTTTATTTTGTATGTGCAGGTACCTGCAAAGTCTAGAATAGGATATCAGTCTCCTGGAGCTACAGGTAGTTGTGTGCTACCCAATATGAGTGCTGGGAACTGGACACTGGAAGAGTAGCCAGTGCTTGTCAATGTAAGCCATCTCTCCAGCCCTGTAGATGAGTTTTGTTTTTTTTTTTTTTCATTTCACTATTAAAGTGTAGTAAGGGTAGAGTTCCTTAGGGAACTCTTAGGGGCTTAAAAAAAAAACAAACTAAAACACAGGATGCTTTGATCGAGACACTGGAAAGCACTGTGTCTTTGGTGCTCATCCCTGGTAGCCAACTGGAATATGGCTCTATTACCTTGGCACATAGTGCCATCTGTGGCTAGATCCCTCAAACCTTCATTGAAGAGTCTAATTGGGAATTTTTGGATGGGGCTTTAAATGTCTTTCAGGAAGAAGTTTAAAACACGCTCGGGTGAAACGGTGCGCCTTGTGGACCTGCTGGGAGAAGGACTGAAGCGGTCCATGGACAAGTTGAAGGAGAAGGAGAGAGACAAGGTGGGACAAGGCCGTGCCACACACACGCCAGCAGTTCTGTTTGACAGTTCCCCTGCGTAATGTGGCTCTGAACCTTAACGTGTGTGTGTGTGTGTGTGTGTGTGTGTGTGTGTGTGTGTGTGTGTAAAAACACATAGAAATTGTGCTTTATGGGAGTAAAAAAGCCATGTGACTTCGGTTGTTGTGAGATAGGGTCTCTCATAGCCCAAGTTGGTCTCAAAATTCTTATAACTAAGGCTTGCCTTCAACTCCTGATGTTCTTGCCCCCACCTCCCAATTGCTGGGATGGTAGGTGTGTGCCACCGTGCCTAGCTCCCACATTATATTTTCATGCTGTGTATGAGTTGTTTAAGTTAAACATCTCACACTGTTATGGTTAAAAAAACATTCAGTATAAAGTAATGTCCAGTACTGCATTTTTCAGACCCTCTCTCCTCCACTTCCTCCTGCTCTCATAGACTGTTTTGAGTAGTATAGATTTGGTGAGGTTTTGCAGCAGGGTCTCCCTTTGTAGCCAAGATTGACTCTAAACTCATGTTCAGCCTGGTTTCCAAGTACTGGCTTTACAGGTGTATGCTACTCTGGCTACAATGGACCTTTAATAATATATATTGATTGTCGTAATGTATAAACGTGCAGTGTCTTTTTTGATTTTATTTATCCATGTGTCATAGTTTTTGTGGCATGGTAGGCAAGCACTTGTGTATCTGAGGCTAACCGTGAACTACTAATCTCCCACTTCCCTGGGGCTATACTGCCACAGCCACCCTTTTACTTCTTCATGTAATCATTCCTAGGGATGTTTTTGTAGCTCTTAGATGTAAGTCAGTGTTTTTCTTGGTTTCAGATAATTAGGTTCTTACCTGTAAGTTACTGTTAGGCCCCTGTAGAATGTGAGTTCTGTTCCGTGTCTCTGCACAAGGAGGTGCAGGGCTCTTGAGTGTTGGTGTGAAGGTAATGCTGTGGGGCAGACTCCAGGCAGTTCTCTACGGAGTTCTGTAAGCCAGCAATGTCTGCCCCCAGAGCTTCACTGGCACAGCTGATCTTACTAGCAGAAACACATTTCTATAGTGATGTTAGCATTCTGCATCCCATAACTTCATTGAAATTAAAATATTAAAGGTGCATTGTGGGAGTACCCCAGACACAGGCTCTGGCCTGAGTCTTATGATGTAGAGGCTCGTGTGGGTTTGCAGTGTGAATCAGTTTTCTTCCAGTGAAAGTTTTGAGTTGTCCACAAGTTGGCATGAGACTTGTCTCTAGGTCTTCATCATGTTGTACAATTTAGACCTTTATTATTTTTACTGATTCTGTGAGATTTTGGATTGGAAGTACACAGAAGAATTTAGGATGTACAGAAAGATTAAACAGTAAGCCAAGCCAGATGTGATACATACACCTATAATACCAATGCTCAGGAGGCGGAAGTATTAGTCACATGGTTGTAGGAGTTCAAAACCATCTGGGCAATGGTGAAACCCTTTTCCACACACATAGTGTATTTCGGGGTTTTGCTTGGTGGTGGGGAGGTGAGATAGGGTTTCACTGTAACCTAGTCTGGCCTTGAACTCTTAAGGTTACAGGTATGACCCATCATACACAGCATTCTCAGTTTGTAAAATGAATTATATTTGAGTTATACTAGCTTGATTGTTCATGTAGTATAATGGAAAAAGGACAGTAGCCACTGTGTAGTCATTCTTGAAGATGGAAAGCAGGGATTCTTGAAGCCAGGCATTCCATGCATAGTTTGTCTTCTGAAGCAGAAGCCTACTCTGTAGCCCAAGCTGGCTATGAACTCAGGGTGACCAGCCTTCCCAATGTGTGTGAGCGTAGAGCCTGTTCAAGAAAACCGTATCTTGGTCAATGTGAAAACAGTAATATTACTATTTTTAGCAATGCATCCATGCTGGACATGGTAGCTTAGGCCTGTAATGCCCACCACTTGCTCAGGAGACAGAAAAGCACAAATTTGAGGCCAGTCTAATTTACATAGTTAAGACCATAACAAAAACTGTTGAGACAGTCTTTTACGTGACCTAGGCTGGCTGCAAACTCCTGATTCTCAAGCCTCTGGGTCCTAGGTGCTCATGTGCCACCACTCCAGTTTATACAGTGCTAGTGATAAAACCCAGGACCCTGTGCATGCTAGTAAGCACCAATTGAACTGCATTCCCATGCGATTTGCATTTGGGTATTTTGTTTTGGTTTTGTTTTGTTTTGTTTTGTATTTTTTTTTTTTTGGTTTTTCAAGACAGGGTTTCTCTGTGTAGTTTTGGTGCCTGTCCTGGATCTGGCTCTGTGGACCAGGCTGGCCTCAAACTCAGAGATCCCCCTTCCTCTGCCTCCCAGGTGCTGGGATTAAAGGCATGCACTGCCACCACCCAGCTCCCATGGATTTTTGAGAATATACCAAATTGCTATTAACTGTATTCAATGAGAATTCAGCAATGAACAAGGATATTCTATTATTTTATAAAACTCAAAGACACATCAAAATACTCTTGGGAATATTTATGTCAATATTTATATAAATGTTAAGCCTTTACCTTGGCACTTGAGGACAAAGGCAGATGGATCTCTGAGCTCCAGGCCGTCCTGTCTCATGTAAAACAGAACATTTTATCCTTCCCTTGTCAGTACTTCTCATATTCAGTGTATCAACTTCATTAGGTTCTTACCTGTATAAGATGAAGGTCCACATGAAGAAGCCTGCCATGTAAAAGGTTTAAAATACTTGATCATAGACCAACCATTGAGAATTAATAGTCATGTTAGGCAGAGTTAGAAGCAATTGGAAAATTTTGGTTTTAAGACATTTTGCTTTCTAAATCTTTGAAGTCTGTTCCTAAGTAATTAAAACCAAATAAAGGCATACAATTCAATAGGCACTTTCCTTATGAGAATAACCTGGATTCCAGCTTGTGATTATGCAACAGAGGTCAAGAACATTTCAAGCTGGGCATGGCAGCCTGTGCCTGTAACACTAACACTAAGGAGCCTGAGGCAGGAGGACCTTGATTTCAAGGCTGTCTTGAGCTGCATAGGATGACCCTGTCTCAAAATAGAAAACATTTTTAGAATTAAAAAAGACCACTATTTGAAGAAAGGCTCCTTGATTTAAGCAGAACTAAGATTCTGATATAACATCAGTGTGTTAATGTTTTGGTCTTACAAAAAGTTTGCCAACATTTCAGTTATTCTGACTTCCTTGATCATAGGTTTTCTTAGGCTCAGTCCTTTAAAGTCAGTTATGGTGGCACATTGCCTGTAATTGTCTGAGGCAGGAGGACTGCAGAATTCAGAACCAGTCTGGTTGGCGTGTAGAGCTCCAGCCAACCAGGACTAACAAGACCCTATCTCAAAAATGCGCCCGGGAACATACATCCTTCCTAAGCCTTGTCCAAATCGCTCAGATCCTTTGTAGCTTGCTCAAGCTTTAGTTTCGCCCTGTTTCTGTCTTTCTCCGTTGTCAAACCATCGGTAATTTCTTTCTACCACAGGAAATCCTTCCTCACACTAGCTCCTTTCCCCCTGGTTTTTATTCCTTCCTTAGAAACAATGTTTACAGAAAACTCTTGGGATGCGGTTCTGTTAATAGATTGCTTGTCTAGCATGAGTGAAGCCCTGGGTGGGATCCCCACTAAGAAACGGCACATTCCTGCAGTCCCAGCATTTCGTCGCTGGAGGCAGCAGGGTCAGGAGTTCAAGGTCAGATGACTGGAGTGAGCCTAAGTTACTTGAGACCCTGAATTATACAGAATTTTTTTTTGGTTGGGGCTTATTGTTACAGTTTGGTATGCTATCTTGTTTTTGACTTGCTACGTCAGCTGGGCTGGCCTTAAATTTGTAATGCTTTCTTAGCCTTTAGATGACTTTTTGTTCAAACAGTTATCAAATTTGCATATTACCTAATTTATTTTTAGGTATTACATGTCAATCGGTTATTTTAAAGATTATCACAAGATAGAAAAACATACTTTAACAAATGCACCAGTTTGTAAAATTGAGATGACTAAAGCTTTAAAATCTAAATTGTTGGGTATAGCAGTCCCTGTACTGGCTAGGTTTTAAAAAGTTTCTCTTACCAGCCAACTCCCAATAGTAGGGTTGGACTCTAGGGTCTCACACCAAGCCAGAATGCTGCTGTCTCCAGCCCCTGCCCCAATAACAGAACTCCAAATGACTGAATTTACTCACAAAATTGTTTGCTGCTTTCATTTTTCAGGTTTTTTAAGTCTAAAAGTATCTATTGAGCAAGCTCAGAATGTATATATGGAGTTGTATGAATTATTATGAGTAATCTTTTGCAGGGGGTGAACCAGTGGATTAGGGTCACTTGCTAGGAGCATGAGCAGTGGTTGTGTTAGCTGGGCGCTGGTGGTGGCGCACGCCTTTAATCCCAGCACTCAGGGGGCAGAGGCAGGCGGGTCAGAGCTACACAGAGACTCTGTCTTGAAAAACTAAAAAAAGATAGGAACTCTGTAGAAGCTTTGGACTAGTCCCCTACCTGTGAGGCAAGAGTAGTGAGCAAGCTCTGAAGTGTTTGTCTTCCCAAAGGTCCTGACTGAAGAGGAGTTGACCGCTGCTCAGACATCCATTGCATATGGCTGTATCAAATATGCCGACCTGTCCCATAACCGGCTGAACGACTACATCTTCTCCTTCGACAAGATGCTGGACGACAGAGGGAACACGGCCGCGTACTTACTGTACGCCTTCACTAGAATCAGGTGACTGCTCAGACACTCGTGTAAGGCAGGGCAAGAATCTCTTTTCAGCTTTTTTTTTTTTTTTTTTTTGGTTTTTTGAGACAGGGTTTCTCTTGTGTAGCTTTGCGCCTTTCCTGGAACTCACTTGGTAGCCCAGGCTGGCCTCGAACTCACAGAGATCCGCCTGCCTCTGCCTCCCAAGTGCTGGGATTAAAGGCGTGCGCCACCACCGCCCGGCTCTTTTCAGCTTTTGAGCCAGGGTCTTGATTGTGTGTGTCCAAGGCTAGGTTCTCGTCTTCTGTCACTCAAGTGCACAGGTCGGGTCGACCATACTGGGGCTAAGAGTCTGTTTTAATTGCTGATGTTTCTAACTCACACTAGTCATACTAGATTACGTGCTTTTGTGTGAAAAGAACCTGTGCCTGACCAACAGTTACCTGCTATTTCAGGTCTATTGCACGTCTGGCCAGTATTGATGAAGAGATGCTTCAGAAAGCTGCCCGGGAAACCAAGATTGTCTTGGACCATGAGAAGGAATGGAAACTTGGCCGGTGCATTTTACGATTCCCTGAGATTTTACAGAAGATGTTAGATGACTTATTTCTCCACACTCTCTGTGATTATATATACGAGCTGGCAACTACTTTCACAGAGTTTTACGATAGCTGCTACTGTGTGGAGAAAGATCGACAGACAGGTAAGTGTCTCATCCACTGTCCATCTTGGGGAAGAGGTGCCACCAGGACTTGCATAGAAACCAGGAAATTTTACAGCAGACTGTGGCATGTGTAACGGTTTGAAATGTGGCCGATCAGAGCAGAAATGGTATTGGAAACACCCACTGTCATTGACGGCTCTATGTTAACAGGGCAAGCCTGGGAACAGCATCGGGCCATGGGGTGGGTGTTACTACTTCATGTGGGGGCTTAGGAAAGCACACTGTTGAAATGTGCTGTCCTTGTATTGAAGGATAAGGTGGGCTGCTCACTTTTCAGGAAAAATAACCAGTCATGTAATGACTCTCAAGCTGGTAAACAAGTTAATGTCTTTTTTCTCTTCCAGGGAAAGTGTTGAAGGTGAACATGTGGCGAATGCTCCTGTGTGAAGCAGTGGCTGCTGTCATGGCCAAGGGGTTCGATATCCTGGGAATCAAGCCCGTCCAAAGGATGTGATCCTTGGGTTTGGGGACTTCTTACCAAAGGGGCCATTAGTACTGTTTGCTTTTTAAACAATCATGTGGACACAAAGGCAGAAAAGGAATTTTCACAGTAAAGAACTTTCTACAACTGTCTATGCAAAATGGGTTTCTTTGTCTCTAACAGAATTGATTCTAAGGCGGGAGGTGGCTCAGCAGTTAAGAACACTGACTGATGTTTCAGAGGAACCAGGTTCAATTCACAGATCATCCAGAGTCCAGCCACACCAGGATAAATAAACAAACAAACAAACAGAATTGATTCTAAAGAGGAAATGACTTTCATAAATTTTGTTTGAGCATTAAACTACAATGGTGTAGAAGCCATCAGATAACAGAGCTTCAGGTATCGGAGTTGGAGAGAGTGGTTTGGCAGAGATGTGTTTTCAGTCATTTTTTCTTTTTTTCCGAGACAGGGTTTCTCTGTGTAGCTTTGCACCTTTCCTGGAAGTCACTTGGTAGCCCAGGCTGGCCTCGAACTCACAGAGATCTGCCTGCTTCTGCCTCCCGAGTGCTGGGGTTAAAGGCGTGCGCCACCACCGCCCGGCCAGTCATTTTCATTAGACAGGAAATCCCAGCTTACTGGGCCCTAAACCTTGTCCCACTCTGCCCCACTCTTCTTTGATTGAAATTTACCCCAGTTTTACAGGTCACAGAACTGAGGCTCCACAGAGGTCAGTAAGTTCCAGATTGTTCCGGACCGACACCATGCATGGCTCATGCATTCCGTTTTAGTAAGAGGTGACATTGACGGTACAACAGGTCTTGGTTAAGGTGACAAGAAAACAGTCGGCCCCAGATTAACTCCAAATGTCCCATTTCTCTAGTCTTAATTGTAAGAAAAAGTCATCCCTGGGTTCAGCATTTTTTTTCTACAGAATAGAATAGGAGTTCTTTTAGCAAAGCAGGTAGAAATTGGTAGTGGCCGTAAGGAGGGCGGTCCAGGAGGTGTCTTAGCCACGACATGTGGGCCAGTAGCATGCCAAGGCTTAGTAAATGTTACTACATCCAGTCTATTTCTAAGAGTCTCAAGTTCAGAAGAACTTTAACAATGAACTTAATGAGTTGTAGTAGTAGCTACCACTACTTACCACAGACTTACCCTCCTGTCCACAACAGCTACTTCTCCAAGAACTGTGGGGCAGCCAAGCAATTTTCTTTAGTATGCTGACTGCACAGACATTCTCTCCATCGAGTGCAGACCTTCTCAGCTCTGCATTCAGCGGCATGTAGGGAAAACAGTACAGGAGTGTGCATTTAACAAGTACAGCCACTTTAGACAGATGCAGGCTAGGCTTTACATTTCCCAACCATAACTGTTCAGCTTTGCCAAATGCTGGAGCACAGCTTATAGAAATACAAAATTAACTCATGTGGTTTTCCTTAAGCAGTAAAATTCCAGCCAGCCTATTTTTAGTACACTAGTCTCGGAGACAATACCAATTTGCCTTCAAAAATCCTTAACTGATTTCATTTGAAGGCCATTGTGTGATTTTTTTTTTTTACCTTGTCTTCATTGGATAATAGAAAAAGAAAGCCCACATAATCATTCATGACTCCTAACAAAAGTATCTTTGTGATGCTGAGCTTACCCTCTGCTTTATAAGTGGTTCTATTGCAGGTGTCACATACTCCAGGGCACTTCATACAAGTGATTCGCTCCCATCCCACCCCCTTTTGTGCAACCTTTCATTAAAGACAAGCGTCATGCTGTTTTTCCACTTCTGCCTATCACATTTGGTAGTTCTCATAAGAATACTTCTGTTAGTTTATTAGTGATAAGACAACCATCAAGGCATTATAAAAGAAAGGATTTAATTGGGTTACTGTTCCACAGGGTTAGCATCTGTGATGGCAGAGCGAAGACAACACCTATCTTTTCAGCTTTTCAAGATAAGGTCTCTGTGTAGCTGTCCTGGAACTCACTCTGTAGACCAGACTGGCCTCAAACTCACAGAGATCTGCCTGCCTCTGCCTCCCAAGGGCTGGGATTAAAGGCATGTGCTACCACCAACCTGTGAGAGCTCACATCCTGATCCAGAGGCAGGAAGTAGATGGGAAGTGGGATGGTGAGAATGAGAAGTCTTTTGAACCAACTCCAAGTCCACGCCTCCTAATCCTTCCCTAACAGTCCCACCAACTGGGAATCAAGTATTCAAGCCACCATACTATCAGACTTCATTTTTTATTATCTGGTGGTATCTCTCATCTTTAGTATTGATATTGTAATTATTTTAGGGTACCACAAACTATGCCCATGTGCTATAACAGACGTGTGTGATCAGCCTTGCCTGTGTTCTGACAGCCCCACCAACAGGCCAACTATTGCCCATCTGTGAGAATTCTCCCTGGGCCTCACTGTTCCCTAAAAAACAGCATTGATATTAAGACAGGTAATAGTCTACAGTGAAAGGACTCATCACGTTTCACTTTAAGCCAACAGCTAAAAATGGTTACAGTTGGTGAGAAAGGCATATTGGGAACCGAGACAGGCCCCACGTGGTTTACTCCAAGCAGCCACGTTTGGAGTGCAAAGCTCCTGAGAATGGAAACGGCTAACCCCATTGAACACAAATGGAAAACAAGCACATTTGTAACCTCATCGTTGTGTCAAGTTCCAGCCCAGCCATACCAAGCCAAAGCCCAGTGCAAACCAGGCCCTGACTCCCTTAATTCCAGAAGAAGGTATGATGCTAGTGCAGTTTGTGAAGTCACACGCAAACAGCCAGCTCCAGAGTTGAGTGTGAGGCGAGGCAGAAGGGCTGCTGTACACAGCACAGGGATCTGGAGAACTATCAGGAGGACACTTCACACAGTACATGGTTTAAGAGGAGGTTTCATGTAGCCAAGGATGGCTCTGAAGTGCTAATCTTCCTGCCTCCACCTCCCAAGTGCTGGGACGGCACGTACCACCATGCCCAGCCAACCATGTCGTTTGTTTGTTTGATTGATTGATTGATTGATTGATTGATGATTGATGTACACAAAGTAGCCTTAGGGACTGGAGAGATGACTCAGCAGTCAAGAGCACTGGCTGATCTTCCAGAAGATCAGGGTTCAATTCCCAGCACCCACACGGCAGCTCACAACTGGCTGTGACACCAGTCTCAGGGCCTCCATGGGCATCATATGTAGATATGCAGGCAAAACATTAGTATAAAGAAAGACCCCTAGGATGACTGGGATATAATAAGTTTTGGTTTTACTTAATCACTGAGCAAGCTTCAATGAAACAGTTCACTATTAGGATAAGAATTTGTACTGTATCAAGCTGATAATAGAAAAAATAAAATAAAAGAATAAAAAATTTTAAAAAAAGAAAGAAAGGAAAAGAAATAGCCTTAGTGTTCAATTACAGAAGAAAAGTCAGCAACGCCTTCAAGAGACAGACTAATTCCTGTTAGGACTAACATGGCTGGTGACTTCAGGTTGAGCCTATTGCTCATTAAAAACCCAAGGGCCTTTTTGTAATGAATAAAAAGAATGAGGCCTTGCCACAGTGCATCTGTTATATAGCACAGCTTGTTAAGCTCAGCAACAGACCCACCACTCAGGATTAGTGTGTGCCGTCAATCAATGTGAATGCACCTGCTCATTCTAGCGAAGGTACACAGCAGTCAGGTTTTCCTTTCATTCATTTCTTGGGCGCACTGGCAGTCCTGTACACCAGGATCCAGAGGTACTGTTTTGACCTCCGTGTCTTAGTGATTTCTCCGATTTATCTGCGGTAATGACAGCTGAAAACCAGGACAGATTCACTCTTCTGGATGTCATTATAAGGATGTGGTTTGCAGGAGGCAGTCAGGATAGAAGTAACCAAGGGGCTCAAGACACGAGCAGAGGCCATCACCACAGATCTAGCAGGGGGAGGAGACCGAAGGAGAGGAGCCTGAGGTCACTGATGGCTGCTTAGGGGTGAAAGAAGGTGGTTTTGTGATGGAATCCACTGTCACAGCAGCAGCAGCAGGGGCTCAGCCTTGACTCCAGAGCTGAAGGACTTTCTAGTGTGGGTAAAATACTGTTACTCAACATGGCATGCTCCAGCGGAATTGTGGGTGGTGCAGAACCTGGCCTCATTTCAAGAAACAGCTCTCTTAGCAGGGCAGTGGTGGCTCACGCCTTTAGTCCCAGCACTCAGGAGGCAGAGAGGCAGGAGGATCTCTGAGTTCAAGGCAACCTGGTCTACAAAGCGAGTTCCAGGACAGCCAGGGGCGTACAGTGAAACCTTGTCTCAAGAAACCAAACACCCCCAAAAAAGAAAGGCACTCTTCTGTTTCTGTTAGCATTTTTAGTACTAAAGTCTTTCCTGGGGTTTCGTTAGCTGCACTGCTGTTGCACACCTACTGAACGGCAGTGAAATTCAAACAGCATTTTAGATGAACTGAGGAGCCAGCAATGTGCTGCCCTCTGTGTTGTGATGTTTGGGTTTGTGTCTTTGAGAAAGGGTCTCTACCTGGCTGGCCTGGAACTCACTATGTAGACAAAGCCTAGCACTCTCAGAGACACTATTGCCTCTGCCTCCTAAACACTGGCATTGATGGAGTGTATTGCTATGCTAAAGAACTCCAAAATTGAGGCTGGGGATTCAGCTCAGTGGTAGAGCACTTGCCTAGCAAGTGCAAGGCCCTGGGTTCGGTCCTCAGCTCCAGAAAAAAAAAAAAAAAAACAACCTCCAAAATTACACCACTGCATATAAACAGACCAGTAAGTACCTAAGGGTTAGTATTAATATAACTCAATCTACGTTGATGGGCATACAGATTATAAAGACAGTCAATAGTGACAAAGGGGGCTGGAGAGATGGCTCAGAGGTTAAGAGTACTGACTGCTCTTCCAAAGGTCCTGAATTCAATTCCCAGCAACCACATGGTGGCTCGCAACCATCTGTAATGAGATCTGGTGCCCTCTTCTGGCCTGCAGATATACAGGCACTGTATACATTAATAAATAAATAAGTCTTAAAAAAAAAAAAGATAATTATTTTGGGGTTGGGGATTTAGCTCAGTGGTAGAGC